GACTCCTTCATATTTTTAAAATTATTCATTATCATATTTCCTCATTAGATTGATTCCTTCTTCGGGACAACTATGAAGAAAGTCAAACTTTGCATTGGAAATATTTGACTTGCAGCGAAGTAATGCATGTTTCACGAGTCCAATATTGGGGTTGTCGAGAATTCTGTGGATTAAATCTCAGTTTCCACTCAAACTTATAATTGTTCTGAAGAATGCTACTTCTGCTCAACAGAATCATCTAGGAGGCCCCCCTGGGAGGGCGGCATTTCATCGTATGGAAAAAGTGAATTGTAAGGAAATTACACCAGTTCGGAAAGAAGAGAAGAGCGGAAGAGTCTAAAAATTATGCTTTTGTTTTCCCGTGGCAAACATTTCATTCTGGCATCAATGCTCTTGTTGCAAAATAAGCAGAACAGGTTGTTTTCATCAAGAGAGCGAGTTGTTCAGATTTACATTGAACTCATTAAAGTGGCAGTACATCAAAAGTTGTCAACTTCAGACTTTGGTATTTGGTCAAATGCCTGCCGAGGAGTTCACAACCAGACTGCAGAGTGCCTTAAAATCACAAGCGCAGCCTCATCTACTTCCATTTCTTCACAAGACGCTTCCCTATCTTCGCGCTGCGATGAGAAGTGGTAGGACTCCTTCATATTCTTTAAAATTATTCTATCATATTTCCTCATTAGATTGACTGATCAGTTCCTTCTCCGAGACAACTATGAAGAAAGTCAAACTTTGCATTGGAAATATTTGACTTGCAGCGAAGTAATGCATGTTTCACGAGTCCAATATTGGGGTTGTCGAGAATTCTGTGGATTAAATCTCAGTTTCCACTCAAACTTATAATTTCAATAGGCTTGAGAAGTTTTGTAGCTTAACTCTCAACATATTCTGATTTGTACTGATTAAGAATGCTGAGGTTTTCACTTTTCATTTAAGCAACTAAGCCGGTCTCACCCCAAAAAGTTGTGCCATAGTCCTTGCTCAGTGTGGGCTTTTTTGATCTCTTCTTCTCCGCTCCTTTAATTGAGAAATTTCTGTTTTTTTTGTGGTAATAATACATTCTCACTCTGGTTTTTATAATAACTTTAAGTCTACTTGTGTTGCAGGCGAAGTGACGATTGAAGGTGTAGTACCTCCACCTGGCATGATGGTTCCTCCTGCACCACAGATTGAAGCGGCCTCACCTCAGCAACAGGTCCACATGCAAATGCAACATCAGCAACATATTATTACTGCTCAGCAGCAACCATCGTCTCAACCACCGCCTCAGCATATTCATTCACAACCAATACAGGTGAATAGTTATTTGCAAAAGTGGTAATAAGCTATAAAATGGCTGCTTGCTTATTTAGTTAGCTTCATGTACAGTGCAAAAATAATCCATGTTTTAACACAGACCTATTGCAATAACTAAAATTATTTTCCATTGGAATTCATGAGTTTTCACCCTTTTTTTTCTGGGTCTCATTCCTTTGCATCTCATTTAGTTCTTTTGTATTGCTTCATCCTCATGTTTCCCTATGCTTTCACTTGCCAAAGTGGTGTTTGCAATTGCTTTTGCTTTCTCTTATGCTTCTCGCCGATTTCGTAATGAAGTTGAAAAGCTAAATTGCATGTAGCCTTTTCCTATTATCTTTGGCTTTTCGATCACTT